TGTTTTTAGGGTTTTTGTGAGATGTGTTATACTTTATACCACCATTCTTTTCACCGCTAAATGCTGCATCTACTGCTGCTGCTGCTGCTGCTGCTGCTGCTGTTGCTGCTGCTGCTGCTGCTGCAGGTATAGGGGATTCGCATACAGTAAATAGTTCTCCTTATCTTCTTTCTATTCGTGCTAAACCCCAAGGAAGAACAGATCTAGTTGGAGACACTGCAGGTCTTAATGTAAGAAAAAAGGAGACAATAATTGTCTCCTTTTTTATTATTAATAATAATAATTGTCTCCTTTTTTTATTATTAATATTATTGTCTCCTTTTTTTATTATTAATAATAACTGTCTCCTTTATATACAGTTACTAAGCCTTTAGTCACAATAATTGTGTCTCCTTTTTGTCCCCTTTTTTGTCTCCTTTTTGTCTCCTTTTTTGTCTCCTTTTTGTCTCCTTTTTTGTCTCCTTTTTGTCTCCTTTTTTGTCTCCTCCTTTTTTGTCTCCTTTTTGTCTCCTTTTTTGTCTCCTTTTTGTCTCCTTTTTGTCTCCCTTTTTTGTCTCCCTTTTTTGTCTCCTTTTTGTTCCCTTTTTCTTATAAAGAGTGCCTGTTATCAATTTATCTCCTTTTTGTCTCCTTTTTGTCTCCTTTTTCCTTATAAAAAAAAAAGGTCCGTGGTCCGTTAGTCTCGTTAGAGTTAACAGGGGAAGGAAATCCTCATGGCATAAAACAGCAAATAGAGCCAAAGACCATTGGTCTATTTGTTGGTGTTAGATTCAAGGATATAGGTACGCTGCTCCTGCTGCTGCTGCTGCTGCTGCTGCTGCTGCTGCTGTTTGTCCTGCTGCTGTTTGTGCTGCTGCTGCTGATGGTGCTAATGGTGCAAGAAAGGTAGTTGGTCTATTTGTTGGTGTTATATTCAAGGATATAGGTACGATGCTGCTGCTGCTGCTGCTGCTGCTCCCGTTTCTGCTGTTGCTGCTATCCTTATTGTTGTTGCCCCTACTGCATGCATGCATGCATGCATGGATATAATGCATGCATGCATGCATGCAGCTGATGAGGTACTACAGCACTATGTGAGTAATATAGATGCATTAAGCATAGAGAAGAATTGGCGAATAAAAACTTCTGTCTTAGATGATGATGAAGGATTTAATCCTACTATTACTCACGTACAGGTCTGCTGCTGCTGCTGCTGTTGCTGCTGCTGCTGCTGCTGATGCTGATGCTGATGGTGCTCCTGCTGCTGCTGATGCTGATGGTGATGATGGTGATGATGATGGTGCTGTTGATCGTTATGCTGTTAGTGCTGCATCTGCTGCTGCTGCTGCTATTGCTGCTGTTGCTGATTATGCTGGTTATACTATTATTTTAATTGCTGCTGCTGCTGCTGCTGCTGTTGCTGCTGCTGCTGCTGCTGCTGCTGCAGACAATGACGGCATATATAGCAAGAGGGTCTCCTTTTATTACGATGGAAATCCCTGAGAGACAAAAATTAATTATTGAAACCCTTCCTGCAGATATACGAACAGGCACGTAAACCCTAAACCCTAAACCCTAAACCCTAAACCCTAAACCCTAAACCCTAATGGAGGAAATGTTTTTTGTTTATCAGGAGAACGTAATGGTATTGTAAGGATTACCAACTTTAGCGGCATGCCAACAGATCCAACCTACAGCTGCGGCTCCTTAAAGGTTACCCTGCTGCTGCTGCTGCTGCTGCTGCTGCTGCTGTTGCTGCTGCTCTGTTGCTGCTGCTGCTGCTGTTGCTGCAGCTTCTGCTATTTCTGTTGCTGCTGTCCCTACCACTTCCCCTGAACCTGTCTCTCTCAGTGCTGCTTCTGCTGTTTCGTTAACTACTGCTGCTACTGCTGCTGCTACTGGTGCTCCTTCTTTTGCTGCTGCTTCTCCTGCTGCTGCATCTGCGTCTGCAGCTACAGCAGCAGCAGCAGCAGCAGCATCAGCAGCAGCAGCAGCTATATAATGTATATTGGGGTGTATATACAGGAGAAGGCGATGCTAACAGATGCATTTGAATTAGAACTAGAAGATGGCACTGAATGGATAATTGTATTTAGTCATAAGGTATATATTTATTTATTTATTTATTTATTTATTTATTTATTTATTTATTTATTATATTTATTTATTTTATTTATTTATTTTATTTATTTATTGGTATGTATATGCATATGCATATGCATATGCATGCAGATCCAGATAACATGCCATGTATCTAAGACAAATCATCGCTTATTTAGTTTATTTATATTAAATAATAAATTAATAATACGTTTGGGGCTTTCTTCTTTATGTACGCATGCAATAATAAAAGAAAAAAAAAAAGATAAATATATTTATAATAATCTTTTCTATAGGGCTCCTGATCTTTGTCCAACAGATAGGGGAGAAATATTATCCAAGACACGATGGTCAGCCCCAATATTACATATCTGCATGCATGCATGCATTACTGTATGCATGCATGCATGCATGCATGCATGCATGGTTGTATGCATTCATAGTTGTATATATGCATGCATAACTGCATATACATGCATAAATGCATGCATAGCTGCATATACATGCATAGATGCATGCATAACTGCATAATTACATGCATGCATGCAGGAAGCTGATTAATGTATAGATTATATGCATGCATGCATGAACATATGCATGCATGAACATATGCATGCATGCATGCACGCATGCATGCATTTATATGTATATGCATGCAGGAAGTTGATGTCTTTATTTAATGCTTTGCCTCGTCGTCATTTAGATTCAGCTGTTGATTATCTAAAAAGAAGAGTAAGCTAATTGGGATCCGATCCCAGCACACACTGGGATCCGATCCCCATACATGACGGGATCCGATCCCCAGCCGTGCTGGGTCCGATCCCCATACACGACGGGATCCGATCCCAGTACATAATACTGGGATCCGATCCCAGCATGGCTGGGGATCCGATCCCAGCATATACTGGGATCCGATCCCAGCATATACTGGGATCCGATCCCAGTAAGAAATGGGATCCGATCCCAGCATGGCTGGGGATCCGATCCCAGTAAGAAATGGGATCCGATCCCAATACACTTAATGGGATCGGATCCCACCATATATTAATCTGTTAATATATATACTCTATATAAGCCGCAAGCTGCATCCTAATTGCATGCATGCATACCTACATGTATGCATGCATGCATACATGCAATTAGGTTCTATATAGGCAACATCAATGCATGCATGCATGCATGCATGCATGCATGCATTTATGTTGTAGGGCCCCGGTAAGGCGATGTTTGAGAAGGCGTTTACTCATTTCCCTCTACGAGTAAGAGAGACATATTATTGCTGCTGCTGCTGCTGCTGCTGCTGTTGCTGCTGCTGCTGCTGTTCCTCCTCCTCCTGTTTTCTTAATTAATATAATAAATATAATATAATTAATAAATAAATAAATAAATTAATTAATTAATTTATATTAATAGGACCAATTAGAGTTATTAAGTAAGGATAAGGAGATAGGAGGTTATGAGTTAATAACAAGACCATTTATACAGGAAATTGTATCCAAGACAATAAGAGATCTAAATACACCTATTGATGCTATTGTTATACCTGAAGATTTTTTTAGGTATATTATTTATTTGCTGCTGCTGCTCCTGCTGCTGCTCCTGCTTCTGCTGATGCTGCTGATGCTGATGGTGCTGCTGATGCTGTTGATGGTGTGGTGCTGCTGCTGCTGTTGAGATCTAAATACACCTATTGATGCTATTGTTATACCTGAAGATTTTTTTACGTATATTACTCTCTTGCTGCTGCTGCTCCTGATGCTGCTGCTGCTGCTCCTGCTGCTGCTGCTGCTGATGGTGGTGCTGGTGGTGGTGATGGTGGTGGTGTGGTGATGGTGGTGGTGGGGTTGTTGTTGCTTTGTTGTTGCTCAACAGTAACAACTATTATTATTATGCTGTTGCTGTTTATGCTGCTACTGTTGCTGCTGCTGCTGCTGCTGCTGCTGTTGCTGTTGCTGCTGTTGCTGCTGCTGCTGCTGCTGCTGCTGCTGCTGCTGCTGCTGCAGGGGTCCTAATTTAGATATAACAGGAGATTTGTATTATTGGCTAACTGTTGATTTTTTATCTGTAAGAGGAAAAGCTCTTATATTAATAGGAGGAATATCAGGTATTTATTTATTTATTTATTTATTTAATTTATTTATTTATTTATTTATTTATTTATTTATTTATTTATTTATTTATTAATTTCCTTTAAACTGTCTCCTTTCTCTCCTGCTACACTCCTGCCAGCCCCACATGCATACATGCATGTATGCATACATGCATGCAGCCCCAAAATACATGCATGCATGCATGCATGCATGCATGCATGCATGCATTAATGTATATATTTGTGTACAGAGGAAGGACCTATACGTTCCTTATTGCGATCCCTTTTCTCTATTAATGTTACTCTTTCTTCTGTTATTGATTATGAGGAAGAAGAAGAGGAAGAAAAAGAAAGAAAAAAAAAAGAAGGAAAAGAAGAAGAAGAAGAGGAAGAAGAAGAAGAGGAAGAAGAAGAAGAGGAAGAAGAAGATGAAGAACAGGAAGAACAAGAAGAAGAAGAAGAAGGAGAGGGAGAAGAAGAAAAAAAAAAGAAGAAAAAAAAGAAGAAAAAAGAAGAAAAAATAATTATAAATAAAATGACACAAATATATGATACTTCTCCTTATGAGAAAGATAAAGGAATACCCAACTTATTCAGGCCTGGTACCTCTATGCATGCATGCATGCATGCATGCATGCATGCATGCATGCACGCATGCATGTATGCATGTATGTATGCATGCATGCACGTGTATGTGCATGTGTACATGTGTGCAAGTGTGCATGCACGTGTACGTGCATGTATGCATGCATGCATTCATCTTTATTTATTTATCTCCTTGTCTTTTTTTGTATACTTATTTATTTGTCTCCTTTTATTTGTCTCCTTTTTA